GGTATGGCCAGCCCAAAATTTGGCTTAGCCCCCATAGCCACCCCTTCCAGCCCCACTGCCCCCCACCTTGCACTGGCTGCGGCAGCTCTGTCCACCCCGCTCCTGCCTGCTGCACAGCCCCCACATCAGGAAGAGGCTCACACTCTCTGGGACACCATGACAGGGGCTGCTGCTCCTGTCAAGGTTCCCCCACCCCGCCGTGCCAGCAGCAGGGGTGTGGACGTGGCCACACACTGGCCAACATGGCCCCCTGAGGGGGCAGGGAAGGCATTTATTCCTCTCTACCTTCCCTCTCCCACCAAGGAACCCCAGCTGGGGTCTGCCTGGTTGGGAGCAAGTGATAGAGGCATTGGCTAGGGCTGAAGACACCAGCTGCAGTCCCCCAGTGGGGGACGGGAGGGAGAGGGGAATAAATCCCCTCCCTGTCCCCTTCACCTCAGGGGTCCATGCCAGGCCAGCATCTAGCCATGCCTCCACCCCTGCTCAGGCTAAAGAGTAGAGGGCTGGGGCCAACCCTGCATTCTGGAGTGGACAGCACAACCCAGCCCAGGGCTGCACAGCATGCTGCGGGACTCTGATTTAACTTAAACCAGGAAGGGGTCTGGGACAGAATTTCGATAGACCAGTTTGACCTCAATCAGTTAAGTCTGATACTACATTCAACCAGGTTTATCTTAAAAGAGGTTCGGCCATTTTGAACCAGTTTCTGATCACTTAAACCTATTTATGTGTAACTTCTGTCCCTAGCCTTAAGGTGTTGAAAGATGGGTAATCCTTTTTGGGAGGGAGTTGGAGACAGGCTTTTAGCCACAAACAGACTGAAACCAAAATCTGATTGCTCCACTTTTAAATGAACACTGGAATAATATGAAGACAGGAAGAGAAACTGTACAAGAGAAATGAGATGGGCAAGGCTGCTATATTGTCTACTGTGAAATCAGGCTTAGAGCATTATTGGAAATGAAACTGAAACTGTGAAATAACAACAGACCACTGGCACTCCCAGGCAGAGAAAACCAAGACCAGAGCCACTGAAGCACGCTGAAGTCTCAGCTGTCAGCTAGCTGGACATACACACAGCACAGCAAAACATTACTCAACAAAACGTGAAGGAAGCAACAGTGTGGAAGGAAGTCCCTGACCAGCTGGGACAACATAAACAGAAAGTTTGAGGACAGCACATTTGAAGGATTAAGAGGCTTAACAAGCTGCAGTAGGCTGCCAATAAAGTTCATACCTCCATGGTGAATGATGTGCCATGGTGGCCCCAACAAAAAAGCAAACACATGCACAAAAGATACAAGAACTGCAAAAAAAATGGTTGAAACGAAGGCTCTAACTATTTCCATGAAGCCTTGATGGAGAAGTTGGGGTTGCAGGTGGAATGTGCCTGGAAGAGGTCCCAGGAATTTCAGTCTGGGTTCACAAAGCTAGAATGCTAACTGCAGTTGCAGCACCTCTGTTAACAGGCCTTTTAATAGAAAAATAGGTTATTTTTACAGAGTCATTTCTTGCTAATACCCAATACACCGTATATAAAACACAACATGGCGTTGTGTTTTCAGTAGATGATTTGCTGCAGTTAGAAATTCCCTAGAAGGGAACTTTCTGGAAAGCCAGGGAAGTATAGCTCCACCTGTGTGTCTATTTTCTCTGCTTATTAAACTTATTCTTTAGCACACACAACTCATTTGATCTCTTCAGGACAGAACGAAGGTTTTTTTGGTACAGCAGCATGCCTCAAGGATATGGAAAGTCAAACTTGATGGTACATTCTTTTTACACCTGTCCTTAAAAGCAACACACGCACTAGTTAAAAAAAAAGAAAGAACCCATAATTTTATTACCATTTCAAAGTGAACAATCAATATAAGTAGGAAAATATTGGAAAATTGCTATTAAAAAAAACTGTTGAAACACACTGAAAACAGATTTAATCTTAACCCTAACCCAATTCTCTTAAACTTCCTGATAAGTATATATTTAAAAAAGAAGATATTTGGGTGGCTGGGTGGTCAGCATAGAAACACTTCATCATTTACCTTTCTATTGCAACCTTGACTATTGCGCCGGGGAGGGCAAACGATTTTCACAAAGAACAATTATTAGATTTCTACCCTTCCCTGGTTGTGCCTCCTATTTGAATTCCCATATACAAAAGAATAATTTGCCAAGGCTACATGAGGTATACACTAAAAAATTGAATGCCCTAACTCCATCCTCTTCCCAACCAACAATGTGGACTATCTGACTATTTATTTTATTTCCTTTCTTTAAACTTCATCCAGTAGCAAAAACAGTATGGGACATACCTACTTGACTATGACAAATGCCACACTAACAGTCAACGTGCTACACTGTCACTACTTCTGTACCTAAAGAAACAGTGCTCCATCAAGTACAACACTCCTTTATACTTCTCTGTCTTGTAGCATGTATTAACAGGGCCATAGTGTAAATTGATCTAGAAATATTAACATTGCATGTCATATATACAAGGAGAGAAGGGAATCTATTATTTCCTGGTATAAATGGGTAAAACTGTACTGTACAGTAAATATGGTGACTTATGCCAACTTGAGTGTAAATTTGATACCCACACCATGAAGGTATCAAATTTATGCCTGGTTAGTTACTGTGCAGTAATGCACATGTAGATGCCTTACTGTGTAGTAACACTAAATTTAGTTCCAAGTCAGTCCACACACAGTATTGATGCGCTTTAATGCCTGCACATGTTGAGCATTTATACACATACCTTTTTGTCCTGCAACAGATCGGAGATCCGCTGCTTTGGAGCAGCCTCAATTAATCACAAGCTGATGCACACAGTGCAGTTGAACAAGCAGGGAAATGCTCACAGAAAGTGGCAACCGTGTGCTTTAGAACTAAAATTCTTTCTATGTGTTTTAGTTCAAAAGCGCACTGCTTCCATTTTCTCAGCGCTGACGTGCATTTTGCTGCTTATACAAACGTAAGTGATGCACTGCCCCGTGCTTTGAAAACCGCCCAGTGTTACAATGCTTCCACATGTAAAAATGCTCATAGATGCCGGCTTATTCTCGCTTGCTGCGCAGTAAATTTAAGCTGGTGTAAATGCCCACGTAGACATGCCCCATGGATGTATCAACAAGTTCATTGATGCATCTTAGATACTGCACATTTAGTCTAGTACTTCCTTCATATAGTACTAACTAAATGCACAGTACCTAGAGTTACTGTGCAATAGCATTAGTGCGCATTTATTTAGTGATGCTTCTTTCGCATTAGCCTAATAACATTGTGCAGTAGGCTATTAATACTGTTTTTTGCCATGACATGCTACCCTGCAGTGTTATCATTAGGCTAATGTGCAGTAAGCTTCTTCTGTAGACGCGCCCCCTGAAAGTGACTTGAGTTTTGCATATGCTGCATCAATTAGCTGCCTCAAAAATGATCAGCAGACAAGGTTCTTAGGGTAAACTTGGTATCTTTTATTAGATCAACTAAAATAGTTATAAAAGTTCTTCTTTGCAAGCTTTTGAGTACTAACACCCTTCTACAAAAATGATCATACTTTTTGGGATACAGGTTGCAGTAGTGTTTGTCACAGGCAAAAGCAACCAGAACTCTTGGTAGATGTGATATCTTTCATTAAATCACGTAGATAGTTGCAAAAAAAATCTATATTTGCAAGCTTTCCAGCACACGTGCCCTTCCTCACGCACAGGAGAGTGCAAAGATAGTAGCATTTCTCCCAGGTGGAAATGAAAATTCATATTTCTAGGTGGCAGAAGGCTGGGGCTAACAGGGTTAGCCCCCGCAAACTAATTTCATGGCAGCTGGCGACAGCAGCAGCACCACAGTACCACTGTCCTGCAGCGTCCAGCAGTGCCTGATGCCACCACTATGCCCCGCTGCCAGCACCCCCACTGCACACACCGCCGCCATGTACAACACAAGTGCGCGCTGGCCCTGCAGCACCCTCATCCCCCCCAAATCGTACTTTCTCCTACTGCTACCATTTCTCAGAGGAGCTGAAAGGTGGTCTAAGCAGTGCTGCAGCAAAAGCGGGGTGAGCAGGGTGACTGCCCCAGGCGCCCAAGCAAAGGGCAGGGCATGGGACGGAGCCACAAGCGTCTCATCTGGGGGTGCGCAGGGGCCAGGCAATGGCAGCTGCCAAGCATGGGGGGGCCCGCGTGCCCTTGGGACCTGTGCGCAGGGCGAGGGCGGGCTGCTGCGGTGGGCACCAAACGTCGTTGCTACGGCACTGGGGGGAGATGCCAGCTAGAGCACGTGTGCCCGAAAGCTGGCAAAGAAAGCCATTTTTTCATTTTTATTTGTTTGCAAGCGTCTAGTTGCTCTAACAAAAGAGGTCGTCTCTGCCTCCAGCTCTGACCCTCCGGAGCACTGGCACTACAAAGTACCAGGCGTGAAGCGTCCCCGCCACCGCGATCGTTGCCGGCAGCCCCCCCCGAGCGGGGCCGGGAGGCGGCGGGGAGCGGCGGCCGGCGGAG